CTTTTTTTTTCTTTACCAAACTGTAAATGATCAAACTTGAAATTGCTGAGGAAGGATCCATTGCCGTCGATTAAATTAAATTTAATTACCACACGCGCTGAGTCTTTCGATGAAAATTTTTATCCGTCTATGTATAAAGCGCTAAATCGCCTAAAAAGAAAGAAATCACTCGTTTATCAATGATCAACTCTTTTCAACCGCATGGCAACCATAGTTCAACTGTTTCAGGTAGTAGTTGAAGTTGAGGTTGAGTTGAAGGTTGTGTTGGACGAATTTCCTTAAGTGTGATATGGCCTTTACTCATTAAACACATATAATTCAAATTTTGCCTCATTAATATAATTCCAAAGTGCCTCCGAAATAAGGGAATAATCGGTAAAATTTAATAGTAAAATGAGCAAAAAAAAAATGAAGAAAAAAGAAAAGAAAAAGATATCATCCTGAATAATCAAGTACCTAGTGTCAATCTTAATTGTTTTTGAGGTGACTTCAAATATGCTAACTATTAATTAAGTTGTGAAATCAAGCACAAAAAGAAATTTTCTGTGAATAAACATATATTTTTTTTTGAACATTTGGATTCCTGATCCTCAAGATAGGGGAGGTAGACAAAATTCTGGCAGAAATAATATCACTTCACTTCTTTTTTAGGTGTAAGTACTCAAATGTGGATCATTTCCTTGAGAAGTACGCAACTGCTTTTGTAAGCAATTTTCTAGATATCATTGAATTTAAGTTTTTACATTATTCAACTGATTTTGATTATGTAATAAAGCAATAATTTTGAATTTGTGATAACTAAAATAAAATGTAACTAAAAATTCCGTCAGAAATAAATATTAGGTTTCACGAAGTTTGAATTATCGAAATCTCACTATAAATAAATATAAAATTAAAAGTCATTCTTAAACACAAAATGCAAAGATGTTTAAAAATGTCAATTACCAGACGACTTTCAAATTCCACTTCATCGTAATCAATTTCATACTTTTGCTCCCTGAAAAATTAGGAAACATAAATGAAAATGAATCAATTAATAATATGATCGGAGGAAATTAGAAAAAAAATAAATAAGAAATAATAACATTTAAGAGAATTGGAATAAAAGAGAGTAAGTAAAATAAAAAGAGTAAATAAGATAAAAACAAAAAGAATTTATAACGAGGAGAGTTGCAATGAGCGTTTAAATATAAGATTATTACACTTAATCTTAAATATGTTAACATTGTTTTCTGATTATAAGATACCTACTGACAAGCTGGCTTACATTCCATGCTGCATTCTTTAATAATTTTATCAGTAACTCTTTCTTGACCTAAGAAAAAAAGAATAAAAAATAAAATATTTAATTAAAGTTGTATAAGTAAAATAAAATTTGAGAACCAGGTTATTATTACGCAGCAAACAATGGTTCTAAATTTAAAGTAATAGTACTATATATATATATATATATATATAGTATTTTTCACATCGCATTCAATTAAACTTGAGATTATCAAATAAAAATAAGAGAAAAGATGCTTTCGCTAAGTTTTTAAATTGAATCAAACTCTAATTAATTCTTTAAAAATGCAGCTAAGATGTTTTTTGAAAAAATAAACACTTTAGAGAAAATATTTGCGAAAAAATAAAAATATTTTAATAATAAAACAATTAGAAAAAATAATGAAACACTTTAAAAACGTGTTTTATTGGAACAATATTTTGAAGAATTATTTAACTTTTATTATAAAAAAAATAAAAAACCTAAGTTGTTTTAGTTAATAGATGTCGTCAATTAAATCAGTCTTATTAACAAAATTATGTAAACCTTTTTAAGAAAATTTTTTAAGAAATTAACAGAGACTTATTCTATTGCCATAAAAAAATGTATTTCATAAAAGTTATTTCCCTTTAAAGTAATAATGTCTTACAAACATAAAATAAGTGAATTTTTTAAATATTTGAAAAAATCGGAAATTTATTTGAGCCAAAATAAATATATTTGTAGTTGATCATCAGAGAAGAAAAATGTGTAAGTGATGGGATTTTACTTTAAGGACTAATGACAATAGTCTCTAATTGATTTTATATATAAAAATGAGAAAACTCTAAATGAATCTATCTGAAATCCATTCTGAATCTGTTAAAATATCTAACTTTATTAGTTAAAAATAAAATGGAAAAAAAATTGAAAGTTATTAGGTGCGTTTGGCAGCTATTTTATCAGCTCAGACGAAAAACTTGGAGTTCATTAGAATCTTATAATAAATTTACTATGAAACTGTGTAAGAGTTCAAAATGCTTTATTTCCTTAATGATTTCATTCTTTGAAAAATAATATTTTCTGAATTACTGTTCTTGGAATGATTTGGGCATACATATCCCTGAATACCTCCTTTATTATTAGTATTATATGCAGTTAATTAAAGAGAATCGGGTTATTCGATTACAAGGGGAGTGCAATATTCAATCTTAAATTCTAAATGTTTGAGAAATTTTACTTCTTAATGGTATTTAACGCATAGTACAGCGTCTTGAATAAATAGACTCAGTTTCATAATCAATAAGCAATTGTAATTAAAACTGTCTATGCTAGTATCATAGAAGATAAATGTCATTTGAAGCAAAAATAAATATATAAATTTTATTAAATTGCACAAAAATAAATCAATATTAGAGAAAAGTCTAGTATATGTACTAAAATATTATTTGATCCCTTCTGAATAAAATTTATACTAGAGGACTGTTCTTATACCCTTTATTTCGCCAATTTATCAAAATTAGATTTTTCCCTTTCAGTTTCTACTAAGACTTTCATGACTTGCATATTCTTTTCAAATACATTCAGTTTTTTTTTAAAGTTTTTTTTATTAGTTATTTAATTATTTATTTTTTTCTGATCCTGGAAATTTGAGAAATTTCAAATTAATGCACTATTTTAGTTTAGGATTTTTTTTAAATGTATTGTTTCCAAATTTCATTATTTTTCTTTTCTTTTTTTGTTTTGATTAATTCGAATCAATCCTTTTCGCACTCTTTTAAACTTTTGCTTATCAAAGCTACTAGCGCACCAGGAGGGGACCATACGTCTTAACTGTGAATCTAATAGCTCTGTACTTCCGTATGATGTGTGAGTGAAGTAAACCTCAGTAGGGTAAAACCACCTCTGTCTACTTCGTTGTACAGCAGACAGCAAGCTTTGATTAATTTTTCAATTTTACTCCTAACACCTCTTTAGACCAACTAATGAACAGGAATTCCCTGTTGAAGTAACAACCTATTGTATCCTTATCTTAACTGAAGAACGGAAATTCCATTTTAACAGATGAAACATTTAAAAAAAAATAAAAAATTCATTTCAGTACCGTTTCTTTATGCAATTAGGTGGGGACAAAAAGCAACCAATATTTGTTTAAACTGTGAAGTTTAACATTAGTTTCATATAAAATGATTTGGTTCCGTTAAATTTTATTTCTGTAAATGGTTTATGTGATTTTTCCCATAAGCACTTAAGTAGGAACGACTGTTCCTTGATACACTCAATGGCATACAAATGCAGTGAATAGATAATGCACCATTTAATAAATGCTTTTTATTTACACATATTTCATGCAGAGTGTCCCTGCAAAGAAGTTTCCTGATCTCATTTAATTAAAATTTACAGGAAATCCCTGATACGTTGGTATTTATACTAAACATATCAATCCAAACTTGTATATCATTGTATGAATTAACAAAAGAGCAATTGTCGAGATTGTTTTTTCAAGGCCAATTGAAATTGAAAACGTCAACTGAGTCTTATCCCGTATAAGATCTGCTTTTATGCAGCCGAAAAGAAGTCTTAATTTTTACTACAAGATTCCATCAAGCTAATCAAAATTTAGTAAAATAAAAAGGGTATAATTATTGAGATTAAATTATTTATTTAAGTAATAAAAATATATTCTTTCAAATAATAAAGCAAACTTCTACCAACCTAATTTTGAGTAAAAGTTCTAAATCGAGGTATAATTTACTGTTTTTTATTAAAAATGCTATTAATTTTAACCACTGAATAAAAGAAGAGAATAAATAAATAAGTTTAATAAAACGGAAAATCTTTGTACAAGCGAATGCCTTCCCAGCTGGAGGAAGAAAGTAAGTTTAAAGAGAAGTGTCGCCAAGCGTGGTAACCCATTCTGCGAACTTTTTTCTTTTACATCATCCATATTTTGGACCATTTTCAAACTATTTTAGTAACAATTATTAGAAACATTGCGTTTTTATTTTAAATTGTGTAAATATTTATCTGAGACTCCAATAAAATACTCATGTATTTTAAGAGGGATATATANTATATATAATATAAACTTACTATTACTATATACTTATTATATAAACTTACCTATATTACACAAAGTTTCACGGTGAGGTGCATACCAAGTATGTTCATCAATGCATTCATTATTAAATTTCAGTTTTCTCAATTTACAGTACTCAATGCATGCCTGCATAAAAAAATATTGTTTTATATTTTTTAATCTATTGATACTTATTTATAAATTTGATACACAAGTCTATTGTTTTCACTAATCTATTGAAACACAAAATAAGTCATTCTTTCCCGAACTTGTTTAAAAAATATAAAAATATAGATACAGAAATATAAATTAAACTGCATTTTTTAAAAATTATTTTATCATTGCTTGCATATTTGATAGATAAGGTATTTAAATTTACTTTTATATAAATTTGAATCATACTTAATCACAGTATGATTTAGATTTTCATAAAAATACAATTAAGGTTCTCATTAAAATGTAATTTGAAATATGAGTAAAAAAAAATTTCATTAAAACACACTATTTTTTAAAAATATTTATATTGAATTTTCATTGAAATATAGTTTATATTTTCTTTAAAACTTATTTTATATAGTTTTAAATATAGTTTATATTGTTATCAAAATGTAATTTTGGATTCATTGAAACATACTTACTAACTCGTTCAGCGGTCCAGTGCCATTGTTTTTCCTCCATTCTTTCAAGTAATCCATGCAGTTTGAACCGTAAGGGTAAGGTAGTCGTAATTCCTCTTTCTACAAAAAGTTAACTTGAATTACTGTATAATTGCATATCGCCTGTATTTTTACATATCGAAAAATGTTATGTTTACAAAAATACAGGCTTCTGATTGGCTTAAATGAGCCATCGGAATTGCGTAAATTTAGCCTTAATGTCAGCAACGATATGGATTTTTCGCTGCTAGATGACAAAGTTAACAATCAGAAAACTGCTTTTAGCATGATGGACATAGAATTATCAGAAAATCAATAAAATGGACAAAACGATATTTCGTCTGACCATTGGAGGGGGGGGGGCTTCACAGCTATTTTAGGTTCTAGTCAATTTTCTTGTTATCTATAATGAGGTGAAAAATTTAAATACCTCTCAAAATTGAATACCTTTATATTCCTCCAGATTAAATACCTTCATTACTGAAGAAGTAAATCAGAGGGGGCCCCCCCAAGGAAGTTTTTGCTCCTGACCCCAATTAGGCTAAGTCGGGCCATGTATAATTGATATTCTTTTGTGTTTTGAAATGAAGCTGCGTTTTCGGCGAACTTAAAAAAATAACTTAGAAACAAACTTACTAAACCCGAGAATCATAGTTAAAGTATATATTTTCTACCACTAGAAATATGCAGTCTACAAAGTATAGGCTTAGTTCAAGAGGAATAACTCTGAAACCGTTTTCATAATGCAATGCTCCTATTTCTAGAAAAATGTTAACAATCCCAGTGAGTGATTATTTAACCTAATATTATATTAATTTCAAATATTAACCCAGTGAGCTTTCAAAAAGATTGTTCCTTTTCTCAAAAAATTAAACAGTTGTAGTACAAGTGTTTCATTATAAGTTTTAGCATAAGTAATAAGATAGTTTTATCTGCCATTATGTATTTATTAAATAAGCAATTCTTTTAACTTCTTCCCTACTTTAGAGGCAAACCGAAACAGATGTAAAACGAGTTGATATCTACATAGGGGTAAAGTCAAGTTGAAAAAATTATCCAATTCATTCTCGTCTTAACACATTTTAATGAAAAATAATGCAAATACGTTTAAGTCTCAAATGTAATGTGAATTTTAATGGTGTACCTCTAGTGAAATTTCACATCAATGTACATTAGAGCCCCAATTATCTAGACCAATCGGAATCAAAGCTGATCATTGTATATATATACATATATATATATATATATATANTATATATATACATAACATTGACCGGAAATGTCATTGTATGCTGCTAGTGGCACTTTCTATATTGGATTGTTTCTAATAGCTGAATTTCTAATAATTTTCACAAATAGCCATTCAATTAGTCCAGTATTCTATTTTTAACGCAACTTGAAGATTCTGTCACTTATGTGTATAAAAATTTCATTTGTTATATTTAAAACTTCTAAAAGAATTTTTTTTCCTAATTTGAAATTTTTTTAAACGATACATCTTTTTTTTTAATGCGTTTATAAATTCCTTTTGTTATTTCATAAAAAAATTTTAAAGATTTTTTTTCCGATCTTACATTTTTTCGGGACGTCATATTTTTGAATTTTTCTGTTGTATTTATTTTGCATTAAAAATTTCTCAGATGTACTCTCGCCTAAGCAGTATTTGAAGGGTCGTAATTGTTGAATCCGTTGCCGACAAACCCTAATCTAATGGTATGCACGTTAGCACTAAGTCCTAATACAATTTGCTTTCAAAGGACATTTTTTATCACACGTGATGCAAGCCAGACTTTGCTGATCTCTGTGTTAAGATTTAGGTAAAATATATTTCATTTCACGTAGGCTCAACTTTTAACATTTGTTATTTCACCTGATAGGTATTGTGTTGATAAAAAAAGTAGGCGTTACTTTGTAAAAATTGCCTTTTAACAAGGTATTTATCTGATTCATTATATGACTACTATATTTCTCGAATTGTCCCAGTGCACGAGATCGGCTACGCTTACTGAGATTGTTAAATATATTGGAATACTTGACTTTTCAAACTAGAATGCTGTATGGGTTTCATCATTTGGAGCAAAGCGCCACCAACCGATTCATTTACATCAGAGTTTGATTCGAAACGTAGATTAGTCATGCAGTAAGGTAGATTACAAAAGTTATAATGTTTTTCATACAAAATAAGTTAATAGTTTATCACAAAGGATTTATTTATAAAAATAAACTGTAGCTAAAAATTCGTAAAATGATATAATTTTGTTTGCATTTGCTGTCTTATATCAGTGTTCCCCAACCTTTTTATCACTGCGGACGTTTGATAATTTTATCGCCGCCCGCTGGAGGGGTGGGGGGAGGGCGTTGATTGTTTATAATTTAGATTGGGGTATTATTAATTTAATTTAATTGTATTTAAACATGACTTCAAAATAAAAAAATAAATATAAAGTGATTTAACATTTTAACTTACTGGAACGTTCAATCAATTAGTCACGATCGTGAGAGAAGACGAAGTTCTTCATTAGTGCCAATGTAAATTTCGCTCTGCTCTTTCGTGTTTTATTATGATGTTTACTGTTATCGTGTTTAATGTTATGACGATTGATTTTTTTTTTAAAATTAAGACTAATTGAAAGAGAAAATAGTTGCGGTGGTTTTCTTGTTTTTTACTTTTTAAAACATTAAAAAATTTACGTCACTGCCGTCGGGGGCCCCTTTTTTAAAATAAATAAAATTTTAATAGAACACACATATTTTTAATTTGGGGTACAAACCTAGGAATTTCAATTCAGTTTCAATGAAATGGGCGACCCGGTACCATTTGATCTACGGACCGGTACACTGTCTTATATGATTGTTGATCTGTGAAATCGAAGCTACGGTAAAATTATAAAATCTACTTCTTTCGCAAGTCATAAAATAATATCTTAACCTTACAATAAACTATTTAGTTTTCAAGCAAAATTCAAAACACATTATTCAACGTTTGTAATTTACAAGCATGACTATTGTATTCTAGTATATTATTATATCCAAAACGATATGTATAAATACATGACGAGATTATATCTGCTCGGTTTATTATTTTCAGAATTATAAATTATTTTCTAANATTTTATCGCAGCCTGCAGGGGGGGGGGTGAGGGCATTGATTGTTTATATTTTAGATTGGGGTATTATTAATTTAATTTAATTGTATTTAAACATGACTTCAAAATCAAATACAGTTACACCAAAAAATAAATATAAATTGATTTAACATTTTAACTTACTGGAAAGTTCAATCAATTAGTCACGATCGTGAGAGAAGACGAAGCTCTTCATTAGTTCCAATGTAAATTTCGCTCCGCTCTTTCGTGTTTTATTATGATGCTTACTGTTATGACGATTGATTTTTTTTAAAATTAAGACTAATTGAAAGAGAAAATAGTTGCGGTGGTCTTCTTGTTTTTTACTTTTTAAAACATTAAACAATTTTTCGTCACTACCGTCGGGTTTTTTTTAAATAAATAAAATTTTAATAGAACACAAATATTTTTAATTTGGGGTACAAACCTAGGAGTTTCAATTCAGTTTCAATGAAATGGGCGACCCGGCACCATTTGATCTACGGACCGGTACACTGTCTTATATGATTGTTGATCTGTGAAATCGAAGCTACGGTAAAATTACAAAATCTACTTCCTTCGCAAGTCATAAAATAATATCTTAACCTTACAATAAATATTTAGTTTTCAAGCAAAATTCAAAACACATTATTCAACGTTTGTAATTGACAAGCATGACTATTGTATTCTAGTATATTATTATATCCAAAACGATATATATAAATACACGACGAAATTATATCATCTCGGTTTATTATTTTCAGAATTATAAATTATTTTCTAATTTTCAAAAAAACATTTTTTTCTAAAATTATTATTAGTGTCTTTTCTTCTTCTCCATTAAAAAAAATGTTTTTACATTTTCATATATTTTCTTGTTTTATTTGTACTTTTTATCTTATTTATGGGTTCTATGTATTCGATGTGTATTTAGTAAAAGAATTATTGTTTTTTTTTCTTCGTAAATTTCTGTTTTCTCTTTATTGTGCTAGATATATAACCTGCGACCGGATATGCTACAATACGTTTCCAAGAAGGTTTTCGTATAATTAAGCATAAGTCATTAATTTTTATTTTATACATTACCAAATCGATTTAATCGTTAATATTTATCAACAAAAAAAAATTTTTTTTTTCAACTTGATTTATATTATGTTAAAGTCTCCATTCTTTCACATATTGAAAAAACAAATATTATTTTTACGAAGCTCTAATAATTAGCCTAAAAATAACAACTTTTTCGCTTTTCATTTTTTTTAGATTATGAAAATTTGGAAGCTGTACACAAAACCAGTCATGGATGATCATAGGTATGAGAACAATTGTTTCCATGATGAGCGTAACGAAATTAAAAATATCGTACAAGATTTCATGGTATGCATCTAAATTAGTATTTTCTCAATTCCTTATTTTCCATCTGACTTTCTGTACCTGGTTGTTGTTTTGTTATTGTAATTATTTACATAGTATTTGTTAATAATTACAATAGCGGTTTGTTACAATTACAATAGTGCATCACAGTGTCCTATGCACACTACTATAGTAATTATTAACTTTGTTTATAATGAAATTTAATAGATGTTGTCAAAAAAAATCAATAAAACAAGTTTTAAAGATATTTCTCTTAAAACCTTGTAATAGCTGTTGGCAAATAATATCTTTAGAATTACCAACAGTTTCATTTGAAATAAATATATGTTACTACCTTATGATTGTTTTGAAGTTTCAAAATATTTGATGTTGTTTGGAATTGGTCATTTGATGGTGTTCCGAAAAACAACTAGTTAGGTTTGATCCTTTGAAATTTAAAATACATGCTTTTGAAATTTTAAAATTACTGTTAAAGTTTTTTTTATTTTATATATATTTGTATGTGCATATTTTTCACTTTATCTATGCTCTGAATTTAAAAATATCCTTTCCCTTCAATTTTTGAATGAAACAAAAAGAGCCAAACGGTAAAATTCGAAGTAAAAATATTTCATTTTATTTTCATCACTGCTGAAGCTTACACCTGCAGCGAAAGTGATTTTTTTCCCGCTGTAAAGCAAAAAAAAAAAAAAAAAAAAAAAAAAAAAAAAAAAAAAAAAAATTGCAAACTGCAATAATAGTCATGCATGAACCACGATGATTCAGCATTCGCCTTCAAATGAGGTGAACCGGTTTCGAATCCCAGCGATAGCTGGTCTATACGAATTCCGCAGCCGGCTTGCACCAAACACAGTGCTGACCTGAAATATCATCAGTGATAGATGGATCATGGGTTAGAGTCCCCCTATCGCCAGGCAAACCGGGGGAAGGTTCTCGCTCTCTTTCTCTCCGTGTAACTTAAATGCGGTTTAGTTCCATCAAAAATTCCTCACGAAAGCTAATTTCTCCCAATATTTGATACAGGAGTTCCCTTGTCTTCTGGATCAGGTTCAAAATTACAAGATTCGTAGTTGAACACTAGTAGTCGTAAAAATTGGGTCGGCTGTTCAACAACGGTTATGAACTAAAATAAAATAGTCATGCATCGATATTTGATTTGGGATAAGGCATAAACATTATAAATCCTAGAATGCACTTTATAAGAACTAGCTAAGAAGGTTTACTTTATTTATAGGAGGCAGTGGACCTCTAAAATTTCAAAAGTGGCACTTAATTCTTTCTCATATTTTATCATGTGCAGTATTTATGTTGCAATTTAAAAAAATGTTGAAGTATAGCTGCTACCATTTTCGGTATTGACGAAAACTCCATAAATTATTTGTAAAAAAAACTGTAATTTTCATACAAAAAATTATATAAAATTTTGAAAGTAACAATTGTTTGTAAAAATTGAAAGGGAATAGATTATTTAAAATGTTTTTGTTTTACAAACGGAATGTTGTTGAAATAATGCCATTCATTTGGTTCTGACACGTATGAAAATATTTGTTTTCAATAAACAACGAAACAGATGAATAATTACTGCCCTGTAAAAAATTTTAGTTTACTTCAACATCAAACAATGATATCAACTGAATATCATATTTTTTACAGTGCAGTAGTCTTAGTAATTTTGCTTAAACTATACATATTTAGGATACTTTATACATATTTAGGATACATATTACATGTTAAGTTTTATTGAAAAATGTTAGTGGTTCATAAAAATCAAAATTAATGCAATTACATAACTACAGTGTTTGATAAAAAAAACTTCATTCGCTTCACAATTAATGGGAAATAGCCGTCATGTTTTAACTGCTCAAAAACAGGCGCCCATTTTCAAGACTTTCCAAACGTAAATGAGAAACAAAAGTAATTTGAAATATAAAATTGATAAGGAAAAAAAATGGTGTTATAACGACAATAGCATCTTACCTCCTTTCCACAGCGCGTTGAAATACATTTTATTCTGATTTGCCTCTCTCTGCCACTGAGATTTTTCTTGTCTTGTTTTTTTTCTTTTATTTCTCTCGGATACTGTGTTTTTTTCTAGTTTTGTTCCTCATTTTTATTTTTCTACTTTTCCTTAGCAACTTAGCGTTTTGTATTTCATATCACTTTTGTTTCTCCTCATTTATGTTTGGCAAATCTTGAAAATAGACACCTGTTTTTGAGTACTTGAAACATGTCAACAGTTATTTCAAACTTGTATATTTTTAAAGTGAATTGTATATTTTTAATCAAGTAATATCTTACCGCTTCAATTTGTTGTGATTATTTATCTTATACCTAATTACATGTCATCAAAAATGACCCTTGTGTAACAATTTTTTATTTTCAACAGTTGTTCTAAGCATTATTCGTGACCGATGCAATTATAAATGACCATTTTATTTTTAGAAAAGGATCAATATTTTTTTATTTTTCAAATAAAAATACTTTTAAAGATTCATAGCGCAAGTGACTTTTTTTAATTAAGAATAATTAAAATTATACTTTAACCAATATCTTCCTCACTGTTTAATTTAAGCTCAGCTCATAAATTTTGTTATAAGTATATGTACAGCTGAAACGCAGAAAATGAGACTTATAGCAGCGAAAATAAGAAAACTTATTTTTTATAAGGACATCGCCCCCAATTTTAAATATAATAAAAATTTCAAATTTACCATTGAAACAAAGGCTGTGTATCTATATCCACCTTTCATGATAATTCCTTTGGTATAAGGATCCACTAAATGTTTACGATCATGAACTGCAGCATACATAATAACTGGATCTGAATGATAGAAATATTCTTCTGGAAAAGAGGCTAGCACCATTGTGAACACAATAAAATAAATAGAAATAGTTTTTTATGTTGATAAATTTTAAAGGGTCAAACACAATATATTAGGTCTGTTTCACGAAACGAAGCTTTTGTTTTCCGCTCCAAATTTTGAGAAGTTTATCAACGTTATTGAGAAGTTTAGTTTTACAATTTCGGTAGACAATCGGTTTATAATTTTGCGTAATTTAATATTTCTTTCAGAAAATTAAATTACAAGAAAAAATTCTTAAAGAAGAATAAAATACGATTCACAAAATTAGGGAGCATTATTACTGAATTAGGTTTGTTCGTTCTACTTTAACGCTAGAAAGACTAAAACTTAATATATAATACCTATATTGCCCAAGAGCAGTTATTATGATTGCATTGTGAAAAAATAACTAATACGTAAACAAATGTGTTTAATTAATTTTTAATATTTTTTGTATTATTTACAGTTATATATCCAGTTATTAGTAAATATTAACAATAAAAGAATTTACTTCACTCGGACAACAAAAAAAAAAAAAAAAACAGTTTGCGCGCATTGTTATTTGCAATTTTTTTTGTAAATTAATAAGCAGTTAAAAAGCAGCCAAAATCACTACCTTGGGCAATCTAGTGCTAAATGCATCAATCAAATTCTCAATTTCTTAATTTATATATTATATTAGTTTTTATTTTGATGAACAAATAACAAAAAAATACTGTTGGTGCTACGTTGGAAATTACTTTGCATTAAAATGAAAAGTTTATCTTCAAAACATTTAAAAAAAAAATTAGCAATGTTAGTTGTCTCAGCTTCNTAAATTTTAAAGGGTCAAACACAATATATTAGGTCTGTTTCACGAAACGAAGCTTTTGTTTTCCGCTCCAAATTTTGAGAAGTTTATCAACGTTATTGAGAAGTTTAGTTTTACAATTTCGGTAGACAATCGGTTTATAATTTTGCGTAATTTAATATTTCTTTCAGAAAATTAAATTACAAGAAAAAATTCTTAAAGAAGAATAAAATACGATTCACAAAATTAGGGAGCATTATTACTGAATTAGGTTTGTTCGTTCTACTTTAACGCTAGAAAGACTAAAACTTAATATATAATACCTATATTGCCCAAGAGCAGTGAATATGATTGCATTGTGAAAAAATAACTAATACGTAAACAAATGTGTTTAATTAATTTTTAATATTTTTTGTATTATTTACAGTTATATATCTAGTTATTAGTAAATATTAACAATAAAAGAATTTACTTCACTTGTACAAAAAAAAAAAAAACAGTTTACGCATTATTATTTGTAATTTTTTTTTTGTAAATGAACAAGCAGTTAAAAAGCAGTCAAAATCACTACCTTGGGCAATCTAGTGCTAAATGCATCAATCAAATTCTAAATTTCTTAATGTATATATTGTATGAGTTTTTATTTTGATGAACAAATAACAAAAAAATACTGTTGGTACTACGTTGGAAATTACTTTGCATTAAAATGAAAAGTTTATCTTCAAAACATTTAAAAAAAAATTAGGTTTCATTACAATTGTAATAGCTTTATTTAGAAAAATCTCTCGTCCTACCTTCGAAAATGATCCGTCCCAAGACATCCATTTTCAATCCGATAAAAACAAAACCAAGTTTCGTTATTTAAGGACACTTCATCTTACTATGCCAAAACTGGAACTTTAGTATTAAGACGCATACCAAGTTTCCCCATAAAACAATGGATTTTGGTACTTAGACGCTTAACGAGTTTCACCATTAAACCTGGCACATTGATTTTCAGACGCATCGCGAGTTTCACCATTGAACCTGGAGCATCGATTTTCAGACGCATAGCGAGTTTCACCATTGAACATGGAACCACGGTTTTCAGACGCATAGCGAGTTTTAGTATTAAACCTGAATTTTGGTATTTAAATAAATACTGAGAATCACTAATCACATCATTACTATCAATGCGGACCTCTTGAGTTATTCTGCCTCGATGTTTTTTTTAAAAATTTCTATACTTATTTTAATCTATATTTCGTATTTCGAATATAGACCACTGAAATTTCAAATGAATTTTTATTGACATTCAAGTATCCTCTTGAGCACGACACTATTTATTTTTAAAAAAATAGCCCTAATTTAAGTATTTACTAATTATCATCAGTAAGCATATGGGTCCTTAAATTATAAATCTAAAGTAAACTCATAAAAAAAAATTAAAAAAAATTGTTTTTCAAAAGAAGGGCAAATTTTAGCGTAAGAAATACAAATTTTTCATATCACGCTAACAGCTTAACAACAAATTGTAATGCATAAACATCTAAATTAACTTTTTATAGATTTTAATAATTCTTAATATAGGTAATATGTTTACCTGCGTTTTGAAATAAAATCTTAAACAATTATCTCATATAGAATTGAATAGAACTAAATATATTACTCAATGAAGATTTTTCAAAGAAATATTCTCAACATTTGCACTTAAAGCAGGAAAAAAGTAATAAAAATTTTCACCTTAATCTTAACTTTTCAGTTCAAAACATAGCTAATATTATAGAAAATCTACATACAAGTTGCAAAAATTTCAGTAGTGGTCACACCTTAAAAGATAAATAAAGTGGAATAATATAAGAGGCACTGCATGTGGCGTAGCAGGTGAGGAGGGATAGTGGAAGATGTGGATATAACGATATGCAGAAGGGTACGGAATCAGCCAGAAAGCTTGCCCTCAGCCTGAAGTCGGATGTCTGAAGTCTGAATAAAAACATTTCGCTGCTCACTCCTAGCTAGATATGCAACTAAATTCAACGAGCTTTAAATCTGCATTCGTTACGGTACGGTACTTTTCTTTACGTTGCACTAGAGCTGCACATTGTTTAGACGGTCTGGGAAACATCCTTGAGGATGATCCGGAAACAAGCTACGTCACATCCTGTTTTACAGGGAGGGCACGCAGATCATAATTTTGATCTGAACCAGAGCACGATATATCTCTGATCCAGTACCCCGAGAGGTATTGATTTTTTATAAGAATTTGGAGAACTTTGCGACTCCGACAAATTCAACTTGCTCCAGTCACCAGTCTGTACACGGGGCAGTCTTCTGCCGGTGGGGATTGAACTCACGACTTCTCGGGCGTGTACCCTACGCTTGTACCCTCTGCCGGGCTATGTCAGTCCCAAATCTAAATTCAACTTGATTTTACTACCCGTTTGTTTCTTAAAAGTTTTTATAAATATTGCTTTTGATTATGAATTAACATTACTAAAGTAGAGTAGTTTTGAAAACCGCGTTATGTATGCTCAGTGTCAACATTTCTACAGTTGGGGATTCAGGCAAAGTGAACACGTGAACTTTCCGAATTTTCTTTCAGCTGCATCGATGGTTTTATGCTGTTCTGTGGATTTATACGTGGTGTTCAGCTTTTATCTCAGTGAGGACCTTTGAAATACCAATTTGTTTTTTTTTTTACTTTAATTAATTTTTTGAATTAGTTCGAGAGATGGCGGGGACTTCTGAACGTGACAATCAGCAAGCGCCAAAAATTTACTAACTGGGGTAACCATAGAGACTATTATGATTCGCCGTGTGGTTCCCGCTGTTGTCAGTGATATTTACCTAACCAAACCTTCACTACCCTCCAGAAAAGATTGGGTGTTCAGTAAAAAGATTTAGAGGCAGGATTCTTCAGGAACAGTGTTACGCGTGTTCAATGTCTACATTTCTATAATATTGTACAACATTTGTTTTGGTTTTCAAAAAAAAAAATTCGTACTTAAAGTGGGAAAAATATAATAAATTCACACATGAAACTTCAATTTTTAGATCAAAACATAGATATTATACTCGTAATATATCTATGCAATTTTACGCTATCATATGAATCTGCTATGCTATCCAATACAAAATATGCATACAATGTTCCAAAACAACTTTGTTACAAACATTTTTATATTGTAGGTAAGATTAAAGAAATTTTCTCAAAATCAACACTTCTTTGAAAATTTATTTAAAGTATGTCTATGTCATCATCTATTTCCCCTGTCTATTATCTGCTACCAATCTTATTCACCTGCCATCATACATAAAATTAACATTAACTTTAATTCTAAAGGTCGAAGAACAAAATTTTAAAAAGATTTAGAGAGCTCATGAACAGAAGTTTAAACATAAACAATAAAAGCATAAAAAAAGTCTTAATTTGTGTTAAAATTACAATGTTTTACGCAGTCGGATATCTTATCTCTAGATTTCAAAAAGGTAAAGGTCAACAATTCCGAGGATTATAATCTTTCCATTCTTTGAAACTACGGAATCAATGAAAAACGCGTCGTTTCTCAAAGATTTTACGCTTTCCCTTAACTATGGGAATAGAGCATCGACAAAAGTGACAAATAGATGTACAGTGCACTAAGTTTATAACGGACCACCCAATATAACTTTTGATCTAATTGATCGGATTTTCAAGCTCTAGGACTCAATCTTAAAGGTTTGAGGGGGTGATCTCAAATATGCTAATAAATAAGTACATACCACATTTTTAGTTACGAAATCAGACATGAAAACGTACTTTCTCTGAATAAATGCACCTTTTTTCGATGAATTCGGATTTCTGACCCTGAAAATATAGGCTCCAAAATTTTGACCTTTAATGTTAATTTTACTTTTTGCGTATTTTTCTATATCACGAAAACTTTTGAAGTGAACTGAAACATTGTTACACATAATTATAAAATTCGTTTATCCAAAGATAATTCCATGCAAAAAATAACTTGTAGTAAATATAGTATTTTTTTTTTATATATTTAGGAATGATTTAAAAGGGTTTGAATTGTAAATTATACAATTTTTCGCTTCCTTTCAAGGAATATAATTTTATGTGGCAAAATACAAAATGTGAGCCAAATCGGTGAAATGGTTCCTAAGAAATCGAAGTTTAAATATCTGACTTTTTCGAAATTGTATTTCTCAGGAACCATATCACCGATGTCTGTCAAATATTGTATTTTGCCATATAAAATTACAT